GTTTGTATCAATAGCTCATTGGCCTACCTCACCGCAGGCTATCCCCCCTCCATTCTATCATGAATGCTGCTGCCAGACTCATCCACCTTACTAACTGTTCTGTATCTGCCATCCCTCTCTGCCAATCCCTCCACTGGCCTCCACTCCGTGTCCTCCACCCCTCTCTGCCAATCCCTCCACTGGCCTCCACTCAGTGTCCTCCCCCCCTCTCTGCCAATCCCTCCACTGGCCTCCACTCAGTGTCCTCCACCCCTCTCTGCCAATCCCTCCACTGGCCTCCACTCAGTGTCCTCCACCCCTCTCTGCCAATCCCTCCACTGGCCTCCACTCAGTGTCCTCCATCCCTCTCTGCCAATCCCTCCACTGGCCTCCACTCACTGTCCTCCACCCCTCTCTGCCAATCCCTCCACTGGCCTCCACTCACTGTCCTCCACCCCTCTCTGCCAATCCCTCCACTGGCCTCCACTCAGTGTCCTCCACCCCTCTCTGCCAATCCCTCCACTGGCTCCCAGTTGCCCAACGGATAAAATTCAAAACTCTAACAATGACATATAAAGCTGTCCACAACTCTGCCCCAATTTACACAACCGATCTCATCTCTAAATATCACCCAAACCGTACACTCTGCTCCTCGCAAGACCTCTTACTCTCTAGCTCCCTTATCTCCTCCTCCCATGCTCGTCTCCAGGGCGTCACCTATCCTCTGGAACTCCCTACCCAAATCTATCAGACTATCACCCACTCTACTTGCCTTTAGGCGATCATTGAAAACCTATCTCTTCAGGGAAGCCTATCCCGCCCTCTGCTAATACTGGTATCCTCTACGCTTCCAACCACTCCATCCCCCACAGTTTTACCTATTGTACCCCTCACCCCGCCCTCCTAGATTGTAAGCTCCAAGGATCAGGCCCTCAACTCCCTCTTGTATTCAACTGTATTGTACTGTATTGTCTCCCACTACAATGTACAGCGCTAAGCAAACCGTTGGCGCCATATAAATCCTGTATAATAATAATAGCTGTATATGAATCTGTCACAGCGCTAACAAAACTGTCACAAACCTCTTTCCTGTGACGTGGAGGAATTTTACAGGCAGAGAATCGGTTTGGAAGTGATATTCGATCCATTACCCTCCTAGAAAGCCTTATTGAATCACCCCAGGGTGACTACACTAGTAAAGAGAAAAGTCTGAAGTAGAGTTCATTGTTTGTACAAGTTTGGCTCTCATTCTGAGGCCAATGCAAAGTGGTGTTTTCCTAGAAAACTTTTGCTGCCACTATTGTATCATACATTGGAGGGGCAGGGGGTTTACTGCTACTGTAAATCTGACAGGCGCCTGATTTCTTCCATGGCTCAATGGCTTCAGTGGGTATTCTATTGCATTTGTATGTCATAAAATGAAATGTGGGGTGTTCTTTACTGACAATTTGTGCTTGAAAAACTATTGCACTAATATCATGCAACCTACAATAAAAAAAAAAAAAAAAAATGTGACTACCAACATTTTCAGAATTGTGCACAATGGGCGTTTGCCCATTCTGTCCCGAACACCTTTTTCTTGGCAGGAGAAAAGCGGCGTTAAAACACGCCCAAAGCTGCATTTTTTGTAAACATGCTTGGACGTTTATTTCATTGACCAGAAAAATAATTTATTCTAGCCATTGAAATGTAATGCTCAGCACGGTTTGGACAGGTAAAGGGTTTTGTTTTTTTTTTTTTCCTTGCCAAAAGATGCTGCTGCTGGACACGCTGGCAGAGCAGTGTGGTTTTTTTTTTTTTTTTTTTTGTTTTTTGGCTCCAAACGCCAGTAAATGCTTGTGTGTATGAACACACAGGCTAACATTGAGGGGCGTTTAGAGGTAGAAAATAAAAAGGTCAAACGCTCCTAAAAGTGGCATTTTTATTGCTGGGTATGCATGAGGCCTTATTCTTTTTTGGCCTCTGCTTTCAGAAAATATATACTGTTTGGGGGTTTTAACCAGTCTTTATGCCTAAAATGATTTTTTTAACGTGAAAAAAAAAAAAACACAGAAGTGACTGGCAGCAGAAGGGTTAACATGTATATGAAGGCATAATGCTTCTGTCAGACAGCGTGGTCTGAGCGACGCTGACCGTGCACATATATGTGAAAGCCCACCACCATGTTACTGTATATGCTTACAGCTGGCATTAAGTGGTTAATACTGGAATTTTATGGTTTTGTATAAGAGGAAATAATGAGGTTGGTGTTAACTTTTTTTTTTTTTTTTTTAAAGTAGTTGCCGACCGCAGGTAGCCGAATGATGGCTGCACTGCGGCCGTCCAGTTCTGGGAGGCCGCCATATGACGTCCTCCCAGAATGTGCTCTCCTGCACGCCCCCGGCAATCTCCATGATCGCTGTGTCCTACGGATACAGCTGATCCTGTGATGTGGTAAAAGGCCAATCACAGCTGCCTTTTACCACGTGATCAGCCGTGTCCAATGACACGCTGATCACCGGCAAATGCAATTGCTTCTCAGCTGCACTTTCCTCATTCTGTCAGATCGTGAGGAAAGTACTGCCAACAACCGGCAGTTGTCAGAGCAGGGATCGGCACCGATCATCAGTGCCCTGGTGATCGGTGCCACCCACCAGTGCCCATCAGTGCTGCCAGTCAGTGCCGACTATCCGTACCCATCATCAGTGCTGCCTCTCAGTGCCAGCTCATTATTGCCGCCTTTCAGTGCAGCCTCATCAATGCACATCAGTGAAGGAGAAAAATTACCTGTTTGCAAAATTTTATAATAGAAACAAAGAAACTTTTTTTTTTTTTTTTTTTTTTTTAATTTTTTGCTCTTTTTTTTGTTCATAGCACAAAAAGTAAAACACCAAGCAGCGAGTAAATACCACCAAAAGAAAGCTCTATTTTTGAGAAGAAAATGATAAAAATTTCATATAATTACAATGTTGCATCACCGCGCAATTGTCATTCAAAGTGACAGCGCTGAAAGCTGAAGATTGGCCTGGTAAGGAAGGAGGTATAAGTGCCCTGTAGGCAAGTGGTTAACCACCTCCCATCTGGCCATTGTATATAAATGGCCAGACAGTGGCACTGCAGGGTCAGGTGGCCATTTATAAACGGCCTCCCCGCACCCTGCTTGTGCGCGCTCCCTGGGAGTGCGCAGCCCCGCGATCTGGTGCCCGCTGTGTCCTTCAGACACAGTGAAACACCGATCGTCGGACGGGACCTCTGTGCGAGGTCCCGATCATGTGATCACTGATTGGCCAATCGGTGATCACATGCAAAGTAGTAAGCAAGATGTCACTTGTGACATCATTGCTTACTACGTGTGAAATCTGTGAATGATCACAGAGGTCACATGGTACAAGGCTATTCACAACAGCCTTCTACCATGTGACAATCTGTGACCAATTTCAGCTCACTCAGTAGTTCTCAATGGCTGCAAGAATGCAGACAGACAGAGAAATGATTGCTTTTACATCCTATATGGGTGTAAAAGCAATCAGTGTAAAAAAAAAAAAAAAAATCATCACCCCCCACTAGTACAGTGTCACCATGGTGACACTGTACTGCTAGGGTGACAGTATGTAAAAAAAATAAATATTAAAAAAAAATGTAAATGTTAAAAGTTTTAAAATGATAATTTTTGGTTATAAACTAATTTGGGTTTTTTTTTTACTAAAAAGATAACGGAATAAATTTTGGCCAAGATTTATGATGAAATCTTATAAAATGTTGCAAATAAATAACACTTTTTTTTTCAAAATTTTTGGACATTTTTATTTACATAGCAATACAAATCCCAGTGGTGAATAGATACCACCAAAATAAAGCTTTATCTGTCTCAAAAAAATGGTAAAAAATTCATATGGGTACAGTTAACAAATACAAATAAGTTCTTTGCTATAGGCAATCAAATTGTGTAAAAAAAAAATATATATATACTGATCACTTCCCCAAAGTAGTACAATGTTACTATGGTAACATTGTACTACTTTGGTCATAGTGTAATATGAAAAAAAACTCTTGAAAAAAAGAGAAAAAATGTACCAAAAAATATTTTTTTTAAATTTTTTTTTATTTTTTTTTTACTGTCACCAGTCAGTGTCCCTGATCACCGCCACACCAGTTATATGATGACGCTGTACTGCACTGGTGACGGGATGTAAAAATAAAATTGTGAAAATTATTTTTTTAATTTCTTACTTTTCCAAAAAATTATGACAAAAACAATGATAACTTCAAAAAACTCACAATGCCTCTTATGAAATATGTCGGACTGTCTCCTTTACAAAAAGGGGTTATTTGGGGGATATCTGTACTGTTCTGACATTTTTGGGCCTCAAGAAATTAGATTGGCTGTCAGTACTTCAGGATTGATCAATTTTCAGATCTATACCATAGTTTGTGAACTCTATAACTTTCCTACAAACTAAATAATAAACACTGAATTGGGTTATTTTCACCAAAGACATGTAGCAGAATACATCTCGGCCTAAATTTATGAAGAACAATTATTTATTTGCAAACTTTTATAACAGAAACAAAGAAACGTGTTTGTGTTTTTTTTTTTTTTTTTTTTTTTTTTTTTTTTTTTTTTTATTTTCTGTCTTTTTTTGTTAATTTTAGCAAAAAATAAAAACCCCAGCGGTGATTTAAATGCCACCAAAAGGAAGCTCTAGTTGTGTGAACAAAATGATAACATTTTAGTTTGGGTACAGTGTTGCATGACCGCAATTGTCATTCAAAGTGTGATAGCACTGAAAGCTGCAAATTGCCCTGGACAGGAAGGGGGTGAAAGTGTCCGGACATGTAAGTGTTGCTGTACTGCATTATTAGGATGTAAACAAACGTATCTCTCTTATGGGTCCTTTTTGCTTTCAGAAAACAATTTTGTGTTTTTCATGTAATAAGTGCATTTTAGCATGTGTGCAAAAAAGTTGTATCTGGCAGCAGAGGGGTTAAACAATTGTATGGATGACGATGTGAAACTCTGACCTGTTGTTTCTGTATTTTAGGGGAGCGCGGAGCACGCCCAGGCGATAGATGAGCAAGAGATGTGCACCCTAGTGGATGATGTTCTCAAAGAAGACGATTTGAACAACGACGGATACATTGACTATGCAGAATTTGCAAAATCATTAGAATAAAGACTGGGGGTTTATTTTTCTCCTGAATGTGAACTTAGAGCAATCTCGGTGTTTTTCTAGTATTGTGGTATCCCGCTCTGTGCGATCCTGTGGTCTGTATTATGTGTGTAGCTGCACAGCTGGGACATTCTGTGGCTGTTTTTAATGGTTTAATTTATACAAGAACATGATGTACTTTAACCAAAAATACAGGTTTTTAAAGTTTCCTTAATTCGCCTGAACTTTTTTTTTTTAAAGTAACAAATATCCAAATTCCAGCATATTAAAATTCCTGCCTCCTATCGGTGGGTTGGCGCAGGATTTTGAAGCCTGCTGCCTGGCTGAAGCAGACGGTGTGATGTGTCTACCCTCAGCAGTGGCGATGTACAGCGACTTATAGAAGCCCTAAACAAGCCTTTTCCTTTTGTTTCTAATGACTGAGCTGCTCAGATCCTCGAAGTACAACTTATTAAAGCTAAACTGCAGGCAAATAGCTAAATACACAAATTAAATGCATAAAAGGAAGCTGTCTTCCTTGTCAAAGTGTTTTTGTATTCCTGTCCATACAATCCTGATATTTACATAGCTCTGCCACACAGCAAAATCTTATCTGCCAGGGCAGGCAACCTGATTTTATTTATTTTCTTGTTCGCTCCAGCTTTGCTCTCTGAAGAGTGATCTGCATTTGGATTGCTCTTTAGAAATCATTTGATAGGCCATGTTAACCAGGAAAAACTGCTTTTAACTCCTTGAGACCCACACTAACGCGTCGTATCTGCTTCCATTGCACACAGTGGTAGAGCGGCCTAGTTCGTTTAAATAGGTCATGTTTGGTGGGAAGCACATGCTCAGAGTGACAGGGGGGGTATCATTCCTGTGTATGTGTGTACACCTGCAACTGAAGGGGGTACTGGTTGGGGGGGTGGTTAAAGCACAGCTCAACCATGGTGTTTTAGGCTACCCCTCCCCCCAGCTTTTGACCGATTCAGTGGGAAAAAAAAAAATCAAATCGATGAGCCCTTCTTTTTCCCTCTGCTCTCTCCTCCTGTTGTACTTTTTTGGAACAGTGCAGAACAATTAACTGACTTCTTGTGCTGCTTCCTCTTCTATTCTCAGCTCTGCTGTACAGGGACTGCAGGAGAATGATACAGGGTTCAATTCAGACATTCACACTGCTTCCAGCAAAAACACTTTCTACTAAAGTAAAATGGAAGGCAAAACCCTTTTTTTTTTTTTTTTTTTTTTTTTTTTTTTTTTTTTTCCATTTTGGATAGAGTAAGGGAGGGATGTAACACATCAGTGTTTTGGTTTTTTTTTTTTTTTTTTTTTTTTTTTTTAAGCATCTGTTCCTCAATGGGGAGATTTCCCTATCCCATAGACAAAATATGAATTGAGTGGAAGTCCCTCCAAAGTGAGGGAATCCCTAATTGTCACCAGAACCATGTCCCCATTTGGAAGATTCCCCCTCTCTTCCTGTTCTGGTGACAACTCTTAATATTGTAAATTTTGAGCACAAAGCTGCATTGTCTTTTTACGGCTGCATGTAGTGGCTCAATACTGGGGAAAAAAAAGGGCTCCTCCACATGGATGTGGATAACCATACACTGGAATAAGCAAGCGTATATCTGCGCCCAGGATTGACAAGTGTTGCGCAGAGCCGATAGTACCAATCAATGGCAGGCTGCGGCTGTATGTGTCCCTGCACATCCGAGCATTTGTATATATATAGGGATGGATGAGGGCTCTGGACATCAGCAGTTTGCATCTAGGGCTGTTCCTGTACACAAGTAAACGCTTGGATGTGTGGTGACACGCATACCGCCGCAACCTGCCAATCCCTCCACCCCTCTCTGCCAATCCCTCCACCCCCTCTGCCAATCCCTCCACCCCTCTCTGCCAATCCCTCCACCCCTCTCTGCCAATCCCTCCACTGGCTTCCCATTGCCCAACGGATAAAATTCAAAACATTAACAATAACATATAAAGCCATTTATAGCTCTGCTGCAAATTACATCACCAATCTTGTCTCTAAAAATCACCAAAGCCGTACTCTCCACTCCTCGCACGACCTCCTGCTCTCTAGCCTCCCTCGTCTCCTCCTCCCATGATCGTCTCCAGGACTTCTCCAGAGCTTCCTCCATCCTCTGGAACTCTCTACCCCAATTTATCAGACTATCGCCTACTCTTCCCACTTTTAGGCGATCTCTGAAAACCTCTCTCTTCAGGGAAGCCTATCCTGCCCTCAGCTAATAATGGAATCTTCTACTCCTCCTACCAGTCCATCCCCCACAGTTACTACCTTTTTGTATCACTAGCCCCTCCCTCTTAGATTGTAAGCTCCAAGGATCAGGGCCCTCTTATCCCTCTTGTATTGAACTGTATTGTTGCTGTATTGTCTCCCATTATATTGTAAAGCGCTGAGCAAACTGTTGGCGCTATATAAATCCTGTATAATAATAACCTGTCATTGATTAGTAGTGGTGGATGTTATTATTATTATTATACAGGAGGAGTTATATAGTGCCAACAGTTTGCTCAGCACTTTACAATATAATGGGAGACAAAACAGCAACAATACAGTTCAATACAAGAAGGTTAGGGGGGCCCTGATCCTTGGAGCTTACAATCTAAGAGGGAGGGGCTAGTGGTACAAAAGGTAGTAACTGTGGGGGATGGACTGGTAGGAGGTATAGAAGATTCCATTATTAGCTGAGGGCAGGGTAGGCTTCCCTGAAGAGAGAAGTTTTCAGAGAACGCCTAAAAGTGAGCAGAGTAGGCGATAGTCTGATAAATTTGGTAGAGAGTTCCAGAGGATGGGGGAAACTCTGGAGAAGTCCTGGAGACGATCATGGGAGGAGTAGACGAGGGAGGCTAGAGAGCAGGAGGTCGTGTGCGGAGCAGGGATTACGGTTTGGATGATATTTGGAGACAAGATTGGTGATGTAAATTGAGTTATAAATGGCTTTATATGTTATTGTTTTGAATTTTATCCATTGGGCAATGGGAAGCCAGTGGAGGGATTGGCAGGTTGCGGCTGTATGTGTGTCACCGCTCATCCAAGCGTTTACTTGTGCTCCTTAGAGCTTACAATCTAAGAGATGTAAGCAAACACCTGTCACTCCTGGGTACAGATGTGCTTGCTCTTCATAGTGTATGGCTCTTCATAGTGTACGGCTCTCTAGTGTACGGCTATGTGAATGAGCCCTTATTGTTACTTCAAACCTAAACAGCGGGACTTTCTTGGGGCGTAATCAGTCTGTATATTCCCAACATCGTTAGTCACATAAATGTCCTTCTATTTGAATTACTATAAAGGTATGAAAGGACAACTCCTCCCAGGAGTACATTATAGAGATGTATTTATATTCATACTGTGCTATGTGGTTACATATGGCCAAAGCAATAGTATGCAGCAAGTGTCCACTTCTGGATTTACACCCGGGGTCTCCAAACTACGGCCAGTTACAGAGATGATTTTTATGGCCTGTATCTAGGGTGGGGGGTGTATCCACATCCTATGTGCACAGATTGAGGCTACCTATCTGCTCCCACTCCCCATCAAGCTTTCACCGCAGTCTCCAGCGCAGGTTCCCCTCTGCTGCCATGTCATCATTCCCATTGCTGCTACCTAGGACCGGCGGCACCTAGCAACCAATGGGGTGTTTGCCCCAGCATTCACAGGAGGATGGCAGAAGTTCCTCTGACCTGACCTGCTGTGGCTCCCAATTCCTGTCTTGCTGCTACCGCCAAGCTGTAAGGGTTCATGAACACTGCAGCTGATAAACTGACGTTTAGGAGCTGTTCAGCGTTTTTGTTTTTTTTTCCCAGCAGCCCCTGAACTCTCCCTAATGTTTTCTATGTGTCCATGTACACACCGTCGTCTACAGGCAGTTGAGTATACAGTTGGTTTTTTGAACACAGAAAACTTGCATTCAGCAGTCATTTTTTCAGCGTTTCAAATGCAAAACGCTTGTAAAAGCGGCTAACCACGTTTATAGGCATTTGCGGTTGAAATTTTTTTTTAACTCTTCCATTTCCAGATGCTGTCCAGAGCCTTTTTTTTTATCGTGAAAAATGCATGCAAAGCGTTTTCCCGGTACTCAAATGGACCTGGCACACCATACTTTGAGGTTTTGCATGAAAAAATGTTACACTGCTGCAATAATTTCTGCACTGAGCTGGAACACATCCAAACACCACAAAAAAAAAAATCTCAACACATACTGCTCTCTCTGCTTCTGCTCACTCTATTTCTCTCAAAGTGTCTGAAATAGTTAATTATGTACTACTTTTCAGTGCATTCTGGGCATTTTGGAAAGTCTCCCGAGGTTATCTTTAAAAAAACGCTTCTAAACGCTCATAAACGTGGTATGCAAACGTGGCTAAACACGTTTTTTTAACCTACGTTTTCTAGCAGTCAGTTTCCATCGTTCAGAAGTGTCCCGTGTACATGGGGCCTAAGCCTTACACTGGTAAGGGGGACTCTGATGGGGAAGCTGATGTATGAGGGGAACCCTGATGGAGACCCTGATGTAAGAGGGGACTTCTTCATTTAAAAAAGCCAAGGAAAGAGCTGGAAGCTCTGAATTATAGCCACGCCCACAGGACAACCCACGTGACATCACTACCGCACATGCTCCCCTGTGTTTCCAGCAGTTTTGAGCCTTCTTCTTCTTATTGTTATATTTATATAGCACCATCAATTTATGCAGCTCTTTACATATATATTGTACATTCACATCAGTCCCTAACCCTCAAGGGGTGTACAATCTAAGGTTCCTAACTCACATTCATACATATACATATTAGGGCCAATTTAGACAGGAGCCAATTAACCTTCCAGCATGTCTTTGGAGTGTGGGAGGAAACCGGAGTACCCCAGAGGAAACGCAGGCACAGGGAGAACATGCAAACTCCAGGCGGGTGGTGCCGTGGTTGGGATTTGAACCAATGACCCTAGTGCTGCCAGACAGAAGTGCTAACCATTTAGCCACTGTGCTGCCCAACTTCTTTAATCTGTTAGCCCACTGTGAGTTGCCAGTTGTATAAAGTGGATGATTTTAATGCTACACTTAGTGGGCGTTCTCTTTTTGCTTCATAATCGTATTGTGTCTGTGAGCACCTTTAAGCAACGTCCCGTGAGTATTTAAAAATAAAAATGGTGCCGCGCCCTTATATTGTACCCATGAGTAAATAAATAAAATCAATATTTAAATAATTAAATATTTAAATAACAAATTATTACCCTTAATTAATCAGAATGTAAAATGTGCAAATGATTATAAAAATGTGATTCATTATTATAGGCAAAAAAAAAAAGCTCATCCCCAGACCGCGTATACCCATGTTTCCATGTTCCTTTATTGCCACATTTAACTCAGCTGAGAAATACAGAGTGCTTTTGGCACAGGTGATGATGTGTCCTCCATCCATAATGCAGTGCTTGAGTCTAGTGGCCAATAGCTGGGCTGAACAAATGGCAAGGATGACATCATCAACCGTGTATAAGCGCCAACATGTGGCTCACACAGGGATGGACTCCTGGAGCAGCAGGGAAGCTCATGGAAGGTGTTGGTAAATGGGCTTTAGAGAGGCTCTATCACTTTGTCCATTCTCAAGCTTCTGATCCAATTAGATTTACCATAAACCAAACTTCAAGAGTTCTACTTTTACATGGCTTTATTTTACATCATGTACACACGTTCCCCAATGAACGAAACAAAAGACATTTTAACTCCACGGCGTTGTTGGGTCTATAGCAGTCATTGGTGTTAAGGTGATCATTGGTGATGATAATCCTGTGCCCGGGGAATTGATAGACCGCAGAGAATTGTACCAGTCGTCATGTTGGCGGGTGGGTGGGGTGCCGGTGGGCAGATGGGGGTGTGTGCTTGAACACATGAACTGACTGACAGATGATGCCGGCTGGTACGCTGCGGGTGCCATAGACGTGAAGCGGGGTATGTGGTTCAGGGTGTGAGGATATTGATACTGGCGAGTTCCAGGCGGTACGGAGCACATACCGGGCATCAGGCTCCCGCAGGCAATCATTCCGCTGGCTGTGATTGTCTTCTGATTCGTTCTTTCATGTTTACGGTGTTTTGCCCTCCGATTCTGAAACCAAACCTGTAATTTGGAGAAAAAAATTATACAATAGTTGTGCAATCTGTAGATCATTTCCTTCTGTTCCCTGTGTTTACCCACAACTCAGGGGGCCTGTATCTCCTACCTCTGCACTGTTTAAAGTCATTTTTAACCCTTACCTACATCCAGTGCAGTGACTGTCCTCAGATGATACACAGAGATGAAAAAAATCCTCTTACATAAGTTGTACCTTTTTATCTGCAGCCCTCTCTCCTACATCCATTCAAAGTGCAGAATTTACACAGGATCTCTCTGCTTTGAGAAGCAGGGGGAGCGGGAAGCTGAAGTTACACTGAGTGAGGAGAGCTCTGAGATCTGATGGGTGGGAAGAGAAACACCCCCCTTCACTAAAGCACACAGGAATAGAACTGCGGCTGTCAATTACAGACTGTGCCCTCCCTGTCACCATTTTTTCTCTTGGTGTTCGGAAAACTTGTCAGAAATGATTCATACTGATAGAGGAATGAGGCAGCAGACAGAAATGCAACTTAGTGCACTTGATTAAGACAAGCACACACTATAGTGGGAGATGCTTTGTTCATATTTCATGTCTGAGGTTTGCAACCACTTGACGTCTTATCAGAATTTAACACTTTCCTGTGTCCTCCCCTCCTCTGTGCCTGCCAACTCAGGGGGCCTGCGTCTCCTACCTCTGCACCATTTAAAGTAATTTTTAACCCTTACATACACCCAGTGCAGTGACTGGCCTCAGATGATACACAGAGATTAAAGAAATCCTCCTACATAAGTTATGCCTGTTTATCTGCTGCCTTCTCTCCTACATTCATTCAAAGTGCAGAATTTACACAGGATCTCTCTGCTTTGAGAAGCAGGGGGAGTGGGAAGCTGCAGTTGCACTGAGTGAGCCCTTCACCAAAGCACACAGGAATAGAACTGAGGCTGTCAATTACAGACTGTGCCCTCCCTGCCACCATTTTTTCTCTTGGTGTCAGGAAAACTTGTTAGAAATGATTCATGCTGATAGCAGAGGAATGAGGCAGCAGACAGAAATGCAACTTAGTGCACTTGATTAAGACAAGCACACACTATAGTGGGAGATGCTTTGTTCATATTTCATGTCTGAGGTTTGCAACCACTTTAAGTCTTATCAGAATTTAACACTTTCCTGTGTCCTCCCCTCCTCTGTGCCTGCCAATGTTCCCTTCCCCAACACCACTACTGAATCTTGTAGCATCCATTCTTTTGCTGCATCCTATGGAGCCATCCTTACATGCAGGGACTAGAGTTGCGTGTCTTTATACTATGTACATGAATCGAAAAACACACAGCCCCATTGGGAAAGATAGGAAGGCATTCTGTCCACCCCTCTCCCTTCTTCAAACTAACAGGCTAGCTGGAGACTGTACGGTCTACTGTGAAAATTGGAAGTTCAGGGAAGCAGCACTGAGAAAGCAGGAGCTGGCAGCATTAAAAGTTGCTCTACCTGTGACAGTCATGTATAACTACTTTCTGAATATGTCAGAGGAAAGGGTAAGTGGTTAGAGATGGAGTTGGGAGTTCAGATGTTGAACTCGGACAAAAAGTCAACATTTGTTTACAAGTAATCTCTTTGTTTCCTAGGCTGCGTACATTGTAGAATGGAAGAGTTCACATGACCAGTTGATGGAGCAGATTAGTTTTTTTTATAATTAGCATTAACACTACAGTAAGTCCCCTATATATGAACCAGTCGTGCTCCAAGAGTGAGGTTGTAAGCAGGGGCGGACTGACAACTCATGGGGCCCCCGGGCAATAGGGGATCATGGGACCCCTGTGTCCTTGCCCACACTCAAAGCACACCCAAAAAAGCCTATAAAAAGGTACCAAGGGCATTTCATAGGACCTCCTACTGACCCTGGGCCCTCGGGCAGTGCCTGTGTGGACAGCTCCAACCAACTTCTGATCAGTGATTGCAGCCAATGGTTACAAGTGCTGATCGGTGTGTTCTGGTGAGGGAGGTTCCCTTGTCAGAACACAAAGGCATAGCAGGGGAGATCGCCAACGTCTCGTGTTGCTACAGCCATCGGCATGTGTAACCAGCTTTACATGATTGGACATGAAAACACGTTTGCATCTTTGAAAGTTCACAACGTGAATGTTTTTATGTAGGGGACTTACTGTATTGTCACCACAATAAAGTGCCGTTAACCAGAATGGTAATAATCTCACCTGTATCCGGGCTTCATTGAGTTTGGTAATCTTGGCTAGCTCCTCCCGGCAGTAGATATCTGGATAGTGATTCTTGCTGAACGCCGTCTCTAGGTGCTCCAACTGTTCTTGACTGAATGTGGTGCGATGTCGTCGTCTGGTTGGGGTGGGATAATGAGGTGGAGCGTGTTTGGCCGACGACAGCAGGAAGGTGTTGTCCACACCAGGGCCATTGGGAAACGAGTTATGAATATCTGGAAACCAAGAGAAGACATATTGGGGACAATTAATCTTTATGACTGCTGACCTCTAGGTAGACTTATTGAACAAACCGATAACCAGTAACTGGTAACTTGCAACCAATCAAACATCAAGAATGGAAGGTACATGCTGTACAGACTAACCATAACCATGTGAACTAGTATTTCTACCCTTCTTGGTAGGAGTGCCAGCTCTAATAACACTTGCCCCTCATGTATGTTGAGTACAGATGAGTGAAATTCAGGGTTTTCATTTGGTCATTTTGGCAGAATGCATTTGGGGTAAATGGAAGATTTAAAATTAAGGTGGTTTTTGGTTGGTTTTATGGGTGTAACTGGGTTTTAAATGACTCTTGAGCAGGGGCGGACTGACAACTCATGGGGCCCCCAGGCAATAGGGGATCTTGGGGCCCCTGTGTCCTCAAACACACCCAAAAAAAGCCTATGAAAAAGCCAATGAAAGGTACCAGGGGCATCTCATGGGGCCCCCTACTGACCCCAGGCCCTCGGGCAGTGCCCAAGTGCTCGAATGGTCAGTCCACCCCTGCTCCTGAGGGTTACTAAAGGCCAAATCCAGGAAAAGCAAATACCCTTCCCTGCAGTGGGGCAGCATCTGCACTGCAAGGGTTGAGTGCTCGTTTATGGCTATGGAATGGGAAAAACTGAAAATTGTATCAAATACTTACCGTATTTTTCCTTTCCTGGTACCAATTCATGGCAGCATACATGCGGTAGTATGCTGCCATGTTGGCATCAGGAAAGCAATTTTATTTACCTTATCTCCACCCCCTCAGCAGACAATGCTTCCCTATTCTCTGGCAGTTGACTGTCCCTCACTGTCCTCATGTCCAATGCAGGGCTATGGGCTCTCAATCAGTCTTTGACGTCAAAGGGCATCCGACCACCATCTGCAGGAGAAAAGAGGCCTGCCACGGAGGAGGATCAGGTAAGTAAAAGTGATTTATCAAGCCCCCTAGACCTAACTGAGCTTTTAACCCTTGCAGTAGGACTGCACTGGGTTTCCACTTCTCTCGAAGGTTCAGCTTCTGAACTTATTCTTCTGCCAGAAACTGCCCCCACATTAGTATAATTATTTTATGTTTTTTTTCCCATAAAAAAAAAAGAAACTGAAAAGTAAAATAAAAAAATTAAAGCAACAGTTCATAAATAACAGACAAATACACAACAAAAGTAAAACACAAATACAAAGAACACAAAATAAGAAACAAAATTCCACTAAATACTCCCAAAACCCTCCAAATAATTTAAAAATTAGTAGATTGATATTTTTTCTCACAAATTTCATTTATACAGCTTGAAGAGCAAAATTCAGTTTCCATTTCCTAGTCAGTCCTCTGGGCCCCAAAACAGCTGTGATGTCCCATATTGCCAGGGTAGTGGCTCATACATTGCACACAACCCCGGAGTGAGAATCCATCATAATTCTCATAATGGTAAGCCCTCCTTGGTCAGTGCTTCTTTCTTCTATGACACCTTACCAGAAGAAGCCTCAGATGCTCTTCTTGTTGGTCAGCACAATCACGTATCTGCGCTGACCAATGAGTGCTTGCCATTGCGAGCATTATGATGGATACTCACTCAAGGCCATGTATTGTGATGTACCATCCCGGGGAGCAGCAAAAGCCGGCATGCCTGCTTGCTGAAGCTGGGTCCACAGAGGTGGCCAGGATATTTGGTGTTGGTTCACCACTTAATTTTTTGTGAAAAAGGTGAACTTACCCTTTAAGCGTGCTATATACAGCTCAAATTGTGGTCAATTTCTACTGAATTCCTGTTATGGTTTGCCCTGTTTTAAGAGATGGGTGACAAATTGCCAGCCAAACCATGACTGCATACAATCAGCCACAGTCATGATTGGGGTCTTCAGGCAACCATGGACGTTCCTTCTCTCAAAATACAATACCTGGTAGGAGAGATTTCTCCATCTGCAAGGTTTAGCATTGATTGTAGACATTTATTAGATTTAGCTTGCTTAGCCTGTAGGCTGAGTGAGTGAAATCCATACATGTATGGCTAGTATTATAGAGCTTGCAGGAGGTATCTGCACATTCCTCGAGTTATATTTATGATGACCCAAGGGTCCCAAATCATGAGGCATGCTATTATGCAAATATCAGCTACATCCCATGATGTTGGTGGACCCATCCTCTGCCACCTCCTGAGCATTGCTATAGCTTAAACAGAATGGGGACCAACTCTGTTATCTTCTCCATAAGCCCCATGGTGGCTGGATAAATAGTTCAACTTCAGTGTTTGCTGAGGATACAAAACTAAGCAGGGCAATAACTTCACAACAGGATATAGCAACTTTACAAGAAGAACTTGATAAACCACTTCCTGTCTGGCCCATGTACATAAACAGCTGGAAGGGAGCAGTGAAGGAGCGGGTGGCCATTTATAAATGTCCTCCCTCACTCCCTGCCTGTGCACTGGGAGTGCGCGGCACTGCGATCTGGTGCCCGCTGTGTCCTTCAGACACAGTGGAACACCGATCGCTGTACAGGACCTCTGTGTGAGGTCCCGATCATGTGATCACTGATTGGACCAATCAGTGATTACATGAATAGTTGTAAGCAAGATGTCACTTCCTGACATCATTGCTTACTACTTGTGAAATCTGTGAATGATCAAAGAGATCACATGGTACAAGGCTATTCATAACAGCCTTGTACCATGTGACAAGCTGGGACCAATCACAGCTCTCACAGTATTTCTCAATGGCTGCAAGAATGGAGCCAGAAAGAAGGAGAAATGATTGTTTTTACATCCTTTATGGGTGTAAAAGAAATCAGTGTAAAGAAAAAAAAACTTTCATAACCCCCCACAAGTAGTACAGTGTCACTATGGTGACACTGTACTGCTAGGGCAACAGTATGTAAAAAATAAATAAATAATAAGATAAAAAAATAAAATAAAAATGTAAAAACATTTTTTGAAAAATTATAATTTTTTGGGTTATAAATTAATTTGCATTATTTTTTTTCACTATAAAGATAGCTGAATACATTTTAGACAAGATTTATGAAGGAAGATTATTTATTTGCAAAATGTTAGAAAAACACTTTTTTTCAAAATGTTTGGACTTTTTCATTTATATAGCAAAAAAAAAAAAATCCCAGCGGTGAATAAATACCACCAAAATAAAGTTTTATCTGTCTCAAAAAAATGCTAAAAAAATTAATATGGGTACAGTGTTGCATGACCGCGCAATTGTCTTTCAAAGTGTGATAGCACTGAAAGCTGAAAATTGGCCTGGACAGGAAGGGGGAGAAAGTGTCCGGACTGGAAGTGGTTAAATAGAAGGGTGGGAAGCTTTATGGCAGATTAGGTTAATCTTGTATGTTGCTGGCCTCTTCCAAGTACAGGGCTTGTGCGTGCACCCCGCCCACCATCTCCCATTGGGATTGTACATAGCGGGAGTTTGTCAGCAGGTCCCAGCCAGGGGCGGACTGACAACTCATGGGGCCCCTGGGCAATAGGGGATCATGGGGCCCCTGTGTTCTTGCAGAAACTCAAAAAAGCCTATGAAAAAGGTACCAGGGGTATCTCATGACCCCGGGCCCTCGGGCAGTGCCCGAGTTTCCAAATGGTCAGGGACCTGCGGATCAGCTGTGTCCAATCACAGCCCAGAGCCCTGTGTTGACAATCAACACAGGCTCTGTACAGAGGGAACAATGTCTCTGTTTCTCCCTGCAAAGCATGGAGAAGAAACAAGTAATTCTTTAGTAAAAAGTAGCACATATTACACAAATTATCACTTGTTAAGCACATACTTAACCCCTTGATTACCCTTCCCAGCCAGTGTCATTAGTACAGTGACAGTGTATGGTATTTTCACTGATCACTGTTTTAGTGTCACTTGTGATGCCAGCGTCATTTAGTCAGTTCTCACCCAGTGTCAGTTATTGTCAGATTGCCCGCCGCACTTAATAGTCAATGTTATTCACTTTCAGGGGCGGACTGACCATTTGGAAATTCGGGCACTGCCCGAGGGGCCAGGGTCAGTAGGGGGCCCCATGAGATGCCCCTGGTACCTATTTTATAGGCTTTTTTGAGTTTGGGCAAGGACACAGGGGCCCCATGATCCCTTATTGCCCGGGGGCCCCATGATTGTCAGTCCGCCCCTGTTCACTTTACCTCTCAGTAGTCATAATGGTATGGTCAATCAGTATATACTACATATATAGTTTATGGTATATTAGTATGATGATCAGTGGGTAGAATGTTCCTTACATTTAGGGTCAGTAGGAAGAATCCATATTTTACAGATAGCTAAAAAGAATGGTTAATGTCAATGGTTAATTATCAGGAAGAAATTGCTCATTGCTCAGGAACCCCTACCAACATATTGAGGAACCCTGGTTGATAAACGCTAATCTAATAAATAATCTGGATTAGGAGACCAGCGATTTGGCATCAACCAGCTTCAGAAACTGAACAAGATGAGTTATATTTAGGATCCTAACAGAACACAATTATAAACTACAGAGAGTTCTGCTTTAATTCTGATCCTATGGCGAAATGTTAAATGTACTGGGTGCATGATAGTGAATGTCTGGAGTTTAGATGGCTTATTTTTTAAAGTGGAATTTCCCTCTCCCAATCAACATGGACTATTTCTAATCCTTATGCTGCTAGCATTAGTAAATAGATAGATATGTATATTGTATTTTCTTATTTTAACCTTTTTTTTTCATTCTTTCAGTAACTTCCAGGTTTCCATGCCTAGGCAAATGATGTCATACATCCCAGGAGTCTTCAGGAGTGGAGGGGGGTTGTTCTCAGCTTGGCAAATTCCTGAGCTACGTACAGATGGATTCCAGGAATTAACTGCTGCATGAATCATCTGCCCTTACTCAAGATGGCCACTGTCGG